TCTATATCTATATCTGTATCTATATCTATATGAATTACAGCTTTCTGCTTTTCTGCACAGGTATTACTTTTTCTTGCCACATCATATTTCTTTCCAGCTCAGTAGCCAGTGAAACGCAAGTACCACCACTACATCAAGGGTCAAATTTCATCATCTGAAACTGACGAAGTGGGTGTGCAGCTTGGCAGCCCTTCTCTTACAGCCTGGGTCGACAGGGCCAGGGATCTGCAGAGGGCAGGATAGGGTAAAACTCTCTCACTTTTCTTGGTTACTTGCTTGATGAGCCTTGGTGTGCCAGGCAGATAGTGGGCACTCACACAGAGTGTTTGGAGAGGGTATATTTTAAAAAGATATGTTACAAACATTTGCTGGCAACCTCTGTGTTCCCACCCATATGACAGGAGTGGTATTACCCACAAGGAGGGGGAGCTAATGAGAATATAATTATAAAGGACTTTAGTGAGTGTAAGATAAAGGACGCTCAATGTAAAAAAGAGAAAAATACATATAGGTAAAGAGTCTAGAAAAATGGTTCCCAAGAGGCATTCTTTGAATAACTGATGGGTCATTTTAAAGTCATTGAAAGATATAGCACCAAGTTTCAGTATGGACAAATGGGCATATTCTCACGAGAATAAATGCCATTATTGTTATTCATTCTGGGGAGAGATCCTCTACTTTTTAGGAAATTGCCAAGTGATAGTGACTTCCTGGCTATATTTCCCTGCCCAGTGGCTCCCTCGGAACTCTGGAGATTGAGGGTCACTTGGCAGGCATGGGGGGCTGCTGAGCCAAGAGTCAAAGAACCAACATCTCAGTCTTCCTTAAGCCATGGGCCTGCTTTGTGGTCTCATCTCACTTTCTCCTCTGTCCACTCTCCTACGCAGAGACGTCATCAGGATAACTGAGAACAACCTGTAGGAGGGACATGAACTGGTGGCACGACAGCTTTGAAGCCTTAGCAAGTGCCGTCCGAGAAGAACCCCAGGGATAGACGAAGCACAAAGAAGCCAGCTGGGTTCCTGGTCACCTCTCCCTGAAGCCCTTTTGGGTTGACGTGGAGCTGGGCAGCAGGAGGAGACAAACAGGCCTGTGGATCTCACAGCACGTGGTCCAGGCTCAGGAGCCTCTGCTCTGGCCTGTTGAAATGCCAAACCATACCCTCTCCAAGCGGGTGGTTGCTATTCCTACACTGCCTGCTCTATTTTAGCTTTGTCTGAATCATTTGGGAAGTCCTTCATTTGTTCAGAGGCAGTGTGGCTTTTTGAGAAGAGCCCAAACTGGCAGCAGAAGTCCCTAGGATCAGAGACACTCAACAGTTAGCTTCCCAGAAAGTTCTACACCTCTAAGACAGGAATGAAATGACTATATATGGGTAATTCCTACCTTAATGTTTGCCTGCAATCAGAACTCAAAAATAGTGATTATTATACTTTCGCTTCTGCTGTCAATGGGGCTGGACGAAGGTGATAGTGGAGCTCCCTTTCTGACTTTCCCTAATGCTGTCCCCTGCCTGCCCCTGTCCCCATGGTGCGCTGTCACTGCTGAACTCTCCTTGATGGTTCTTTGAGGGTGCTGCTGGTTCTTGTCCCCTTGATAAAGATGATCACCCAGCTCTGCGAGTCTACTGCAGCATGCCTTGCCGGCCCATTCCAGACTCTCCCAAATGTGGATGCTCTCACTCATTGCCTCCTGCTCCTTCCCCAGGCCCCAGGTAAAGCAATAAAGAGAGGGTTGGGTGACACCCTGATAGAAACTGTTTCTCCCAGGCTGCAGATGGTTTTAATAATGATGATAAAAATGTAATAATAGATACCAATTTCAGAATACCTGCTACGTGATTAGGTGCTTTCCCTTATCATTTCATTTGCTCCTCATTGTAATCCTTTTGGACTCCAAGAGCATGTTTGTTCCGCTAAACCTTGACCAAACGTGGAGGTCCCACCATCCTGCCCTTCTTACGCACCATCCATTCTTAAGGATTCCCAAGGCCTGGCGTTTAAGCTCATTTATTCACTAGGAGTCAGCTCAGAAGCCACAGAAGGCGATTAGTTTCATTACCTGATAGTCACAACTGGTTTCCTTTCTACATCAATCAACACCCCACAGCCTACTGGACGATTTAGGAGTATTCTATAAATAATAGAATATAGCTTATTATGAGAGAACCTCCAAAGGTTCACCAGTGGTTCTCAGCCCCTGAGTTTCTCTGTGACCTTCAGCAGCACCGCTAGCCTTAAGCCAGCAGGAGCTTGCAGGGAGGGTCTGCAAAAGAAAGAGAGGTTCCTTTGGGTGTGAACATCTCAAGCCTCGCTTGAGCCTGGTCTCCGGGCATGCTGCCTCCTTCCTTAAAGCCCACACAGAAGGGCACTTCTGACTCGCTTGTGCTCATGCAGTAGGACTCACGAGAGAGACGAAAATGTGAAGGTGTGTTTATGTGGGTGTGTGTTGGGGGAGGGGAATGGAAAATTGTGCTTCAGCTGGGTGACTGATCATCCCAATTTCCCTAGGACTGAGGGGTTTCCTGGGACACACGGCTGTCGCTGCTAAAACCAGGATCATCCCAGGCTAACCAGGATGGTTGGCCACCTTAGCTATAGGAGGGGGTCACACTTATTCAGTCATTATTCTGGGAGGCAATGCACTGTTGTGCTTAGTGGTTTGGAGTTGGAGTCAGACTTCTTGTGTTCAAAGCCTAGGTCTACCATATACTGTGAAATCTTGGGCAAGATAGACACCGTGCCTCAATTTCCTCATCTGTAAAATGGGTTAGTAAATGTACCTACTTCATAAAGTTGAAGATTAAATGACACACCAAATATAAAGCCCCCAACACATAGAAACAGCTGACGGCCACTGTACTGTTACCTCACCTGGGAGCACAGCCTGGTCCCATGGACACTCTTTCTTGAGACTAAGACCCCCCTAGAAGCCATGGTGACAGTGTCTGGTACAGAGACTGTCCCATCTGGCGGCTGTATGGCGACTTCCTGTGGGGTGTTTGTGAGTCTATTGGAGGGCTTTTTGCCAGACTGAGAGCTCTGCAGGGGGTGGGGAGAGCCGGAGCTGCTCCAAGACTGCATCTTTCCAAAGAGAGCGTCTGTGTTGTGAGCACAGACTATGACAAATGTCATAGCCTAAGAAGGGGCAGCTTGAAGAGTCAGCTGGCAGAGGACCCACGTCCCCATTACTTCCCGTCTCAGAAGAAGGTGTGTGGGCCTCTAATGTGGTGGCTACCAAACACTGGGGTCAGTCCCATAAAGGCACACCAGGCGTTCTTGTCATCTGATAGTCACACTGTGATGACGCAGTCTCTTTTTACACACACACACACGCTTTCTGCTGGTTCAGCCATCCTCCAGAAGGCAAGTTGTATGGGTTGCTTTTCCCAAATTGCTTGATTTCTCTTCTCATCTCCATTAGATGTGCAGACGCTGCAGACTTCCTTCTCCAAATTTCTCCTAGTGCCTATTTCTGTCCCGTGCCTGACTTTTCTTCCCTTTGCTTTGAAGAGTGGGGACCCTGCTTTGCAGGATAACAAATAGAACTGTCAAACACATCAGCGCTGCTGCCTGCAAAGATAAATGGGGCGACACGTGGAGCAACCTCTGTGGATCCTGGGGCCCCAGCAGGAACTGACATTGTGACAGATGGGGGGACAAGTGGCACTGACACAATCGGGTCGCAGGAATGTCGAGGGGGTGAGGGTGGTATCTGCTCCTCTGTCGGCTCGCCCTCCCTCTCTACCTCACACATATTATGTTGCTGGAGATCATAAAGAGATAGCAGGCAGGTCACAGCTTCTTGCCAGCCTTGTGAATCTTCCTGTCGGCGGCACAGGGCAAGGAAGCAGGCAGAGCATCCTGCTGTCTCAGGGGTGACAACTGAGCTACCTTGCAAAGAAAGCCAGTCCTGGGCTAAGACCAGGGCCAAGTGTATTGTTAACCCTAAACCTCATCTTCTTCCAGGCTTGCCCTGCTTGTTTACACTTTCTCATCAGTCCTGTATATCCAGGAGGCTTACCTCTTCTCTGACTCTCACTCAGAAACCCCTCCCAGGCCTCTTCAATCAGCCCATGCAATGGATCTTTCCATTCCTTCCTCGTATCAAAATTGCACCCTCTATCTCCCATTTCATCAGGAATTGGAAGGATGTCCTCCTGATGGCTCCCAAACTGCCCCCTTGCTGAACAGGGTATGCATCACACATTCCCAAGGGGGATGGGGCAGAGCGTTCTGGAGCCCCTGATGGAGTATGGCTGTCAAGGTTGGAAACTACTCCAAAGGGATCCAAATGCTTGATAGCGTTTGGAGACATAAATTCTGGGTGGTAATTGTTCACTTTCAATTTCCTTTTTCATTCTGCCTAAAGAGGAGCTTTCCTTTACTCATAGGTGCTGTTCTGAGCTGGGGTCTTCACTGGGTCTCTGCCTTCAATAACCATTGCTGATGGGCCTCCTGAGGTGCAGTCAATTCAACTCATTGAAACATGTATTGAGGATCCACTTTCTGTAAAGCAATGTGCTGACTGCTATGAGTAGGGGAGGGAGAGGAGTGGCTGCCAAGATAGATAAGCCATGGCCTGCCGCATTTAGGGGCTCACAGCTTAGTGGAGCAGAGAGCCATGTGTATGAATAACTTTAACACAAAGCCAGCAATGTAAAGAGTTAAAGGGACAGAGTGAGAACAGGAGGAGGAAGATTAATCTTGGCTTGAGAGGAACAAGGACATCCTTGAGGAAGAGGTGGGATTTTGTAGGGCCTTGAAGGATGCAGAGGACGTGGACCAGGTTGAAATGGTGGGAAAATGACTCTATGTAGATGGAAGAGGATGAATTCAGAAAGATGGGAGATGTAGAGTGTTCTGGGGTCTGGATTTGGTCAGATATGACTGGGGCATATGAGGAGTGTGTGTGTGCGTGTGTGTGTGTGTGTGTGTGCATGAGAGAGAGAGATTGAGAGAGAGAGAGAGAGAGAGAAAGAAGGAGAGAGAGGAAGAGAGAAGGAAAGCGAGAGAGGGAGGGGGAAAGAGAGAGGGAGAAAGAGTTCTGCACTCAGCTTTGGCTGAGAGCAGAATGCTCCTTCACTTTCCATTTTATCTCTCATTGCAGATTCTCAATGGAATTGGATGCTGCCCTTAGTGATGAGTAAGGAAATAATCATCACACAGTTCTCTTGGACGCTTCCAAAAACTGGGGGGGATGGGCAGTAGGGAAAGGAAAGGGCATAGGGGAGGACCAGTACAGAGTGCCTTCGAGAAGAATGAATAAGCCTATGCCAACTGCTTAACCATTTTCCTCTCCAGTTTCCCTGTAGTCAACTGGGATACCATATAGCACCTGGCCTGATGTGGGGATAATAATACCTCCCCACAGGGCTGTTGTGAGGCTCATGAGGGAAAACATATGTAGAGTGTTTAGCACGGTACATCTCAATCCCTGGTGGCTACCATTATGATTATCCCCCTGCCCCCTGATCCATGTTAGCAGGCAAGAGCACTCAGACACTGTTACTGGGCAGCTGTATGAAAGGCACACGTGGTTTGTCCCCAGGAATGATGCTGCTGAGGGATGCTCAAAGTCTAGATGATGAGGAGACTTAACAAGATCAATACCACTTTTGGAAAAGATTATATGCTATACTAGGCAGCAAATAGACCATTGAAACCGGATTTGGAAAGCGTTTATGGAGTCTATTAGAGATGGTTAAACATACCAACTCAGAGAAAAATAAATAGTGGATTATATACACGCAGCCTCCTCGTTCTCCTTCTCTGTGTGTCTCTCTTTCTCTCCCTTCTGCCCTCTCCTTCCACATTTTCAGGTTTAGGTAAGGAGGACTGATCAAATAACTCTTCTGAGAAACGGTGAAGGAGAAAACTACGTGGTATTATGGCTGTGCAGATCGAGTTACTTAGAGTGTGTGAAATTTTAGGAGCTGAATGAGAAGTGATGCCTCAATTTATAGTGGGCTGTAGATGAGGTCTCCCTGATTAATAAGCTGATGGGTTTCCAGGAATAAGTTAAACCTTTTGGTTAGCTTTTTAAGGCTACTAGTGAGCAATTTAGTGCACTGGAGCAGTAATTTCATGTTCTCTGGTGGCTTGAAATAATTAGATTATTTTGTGGAATGAATAAATGAGATGTTAATTCACTGGCATGGATCAGTGTGGGAACATGATTTATTCCTTGCAAAGGTGAGTGCTCTAGAGTCTTGACCCTACAGATAATTGTTTTGACTCCCTCCCCTTTCTCATTTATGATGTGTTTTGGGTTATTTTGTGAGGGAGGCTGCCCAGTGGAGTGGGAAGAACATATGAACTTTGGGATCAGACAAATCTTGATTCAATTTTTACTAGGTGTGTGACCTTGGGCAAATCACTTAACATGCGAGGCCCCACTTCCTAATCAGTAAAGGGGTGGTAATAATGCTTACCTTATATGAGATGCATATGAATTAAGTCTGTTACTGAAAGGAAAGTACCTAACACAGCTCCTAGCCCACGCTGGAAACCCAAACAAAATATTAGATTCCTTTTAGGCTCCCTCCCACCATATTATTTTAAAATGATTAATGTTTGTACCAACAATAAACAGCCAGCACATTAATTAATTATGGTTTTCCTCATTTGTTAGGTTGGAAAGAACTTCCGCCTTGATAAAGTGCTTTAATGAAAATGTTTACTGAGCCTACGTTTTTGGGGAAAATAAAAGGTGTTTGAAAGCCAAATGTTCTTGTGGAAATCTATATTAGCATTTTACTTTATGGCCACTAATGACCTGATTCAAGGCAAAACCTCTCCCTTCAAACCAACCAATGATTACCTTAGTAGATAAAGTTTAAACAGAATCTTGATGGGGGAATTGGCTTTGCATTCTCTTCTGTTGTGGCATTATATACAGTGAAGATTCTACAGCCCTTGCATAAAGGACAGAAATGAAGAAAATTCAATAACCAAATAGCACTGGGAGGTTGGAGAGCAGTTAGTGCTTTGGCAGTTGGTGAAAGAAGCAGACCTTGCTTTTCACAAGTTTGCTGCTTTTGGATAGTAGCAGACTAGCCAGCCACAACAGGCCCATATTAATTCAGCAGGGTGGGATGGGACATGTACTCTCCGTTCCTGCTAGAACATCACAGCATTGGAATTCTTCTTACGATTTATTCCAAGCCTCAAATCTGTATATCACTCATCCACTGAATCGAACAATTGGAAAGTGATTACATTTAGGAACTATTGGTGGGAGGTTGGTACTTCCTCCTCTTTAATAACATCTTGAGAGCTAACGGGCTCACTGATGTTCCTCAAATCCATCCTACCTCCCTCTACACAAATGAACTCAGTTGGAGGTCGGGTTTATTGACGTTTAAATGAGTGTACTTAGCTCACTGTAGCGTCTGTCTAAATGAACACTGCTTTGGCGCATTGAAACTTAATGATTTACTCTGCATCCAGGTGAGAGAGCGGAATGTTGTGGCATGCAGGTGGGGGATGTATGCAACTCATGTCTTCTAGCCAAGAATAGTTGCAAATTGAAATAATTTCTTAAATATTTCATGGAAGGCTATTTTGGTATTGGGATGGGAGAACATTAGAAATGTCTACTAAGGCTGGAAAAGTAAAACAATAGCTAGAAAGGGAGAAAAAAGTCAGGAGATACGCCCAGGTGAGACTACTGCCGTATGCCCAGTGTTTTCCTACAACTTCATGCTCCCTCTTAGAGGACAAAAGACATAACCCGTTTGGGCTTTGGTGACTAAGCTTAGAATACCTCAGGTAAAATAATGGAAACCAAAGTTCACTGTCTGTAAATACCAGTGATCTGTCATGGCAGAACTCCTTCCTTGACTCCACATGCCCTCCAGCCACTGCCCTATTTCTCTGACATTCTTCTTAAACAAACTTTTCAAAAGAGCTGTCTACACACATTGTTTCCATGTCTTTGCTTCCCAAGTTCTCTTCAACCTACTCAAGTCAAGCCTCTGACACTACCAATTGACTGAACTCACTTTTGCCAAGATTATCAATGACCTCCATGTCACCAAATCCAGTGGTTGCTCTCTGTTCTCAACTTCTTTGAATCCTCAGCACCTTGAGGCTGACTTTTCCTCTTCTACCCAACCTCTGAACGTTGAGATTCTTCAGAGCTTGGACTCGGCACCTCTTCTTTGACTCTCCAAATCCTCTTCCTAGCTGATCTACTCAAGTCCCATGTATTTAAATGCAACTTTTACACTGATGTCTCCAATATTTATATCTTCTGCCTCAACCTCTCCTCTGAGATCTAGACTTATCAATACGATTGTCTACTTGACACTACTGTTTGCAGACATTTCAAACTGAGTAAGTCCAGAAAGGTACTCTTGCTGCCTGTTTCCCAGCTCCTCTCCCAAGTCTTGAACATTGGATCCGTCAACAAGTCCTGTCAACCCAAATTCTACAAGATGCTTTGCCATGTCCATTGCTGTTCTGAGTCATGGCCTACATCATCTTCCATCTAGACCAGTGCACCTGCCTCCTAGTTGGTCCTTCTCCTTCCAGTCTTACTCTACATTACTGTCCACTCTATAAACAGCAGCAACTTCCCTGCTCAAAACCCTCCAAATTTTCACCTGGCCTCTAGAATAAAACTCAAGTTCCTACTGTGTATACCAGGCCTTGCCTTTCTGGCCCTACTTCTCCAATCTTTTTTTTTTTTTTTTACCATGTTTTCCTCCTTATTCACCATGCTCCAGTCATGCTGGCCTTCTTTCTGTTCCCTGAACATATAGTACTCCCTTGCACATCAAGGGTTTTGCACGTGCTGTCCCCTTTGCCTGGAATGGTAATTTATGTCCCTAACTTAATGGCATTAATTATGGGCCAGGCCAGGTCTAAGTGCTTTCAATGGATTAACACATTACATTCTCATATTACCCACACGAGATAGGAACTGTTATTCTTCTATTTAATAGATGAGGAAATTGACTCACATTTACTCATCTGAATGCTCTTTCCCCCTTTTCGTGTGACAGCTCCCTCTTCTTTTTTAGGTCTTAGCTTCAATATCACTCTTCAAGGATGTTTTCTTTGATGTCCCTACTTAAAGTGCTAATTTCATTCTCCGTCTCCTGTTTTGACTTTTATAGTATTAATGATAATGTGCAGTTTCCTTGTGTACTTGTGTTTTTGTCTGTATGGACTGGGATTAGCTCTTTCTCACTCACTGCTATATCTCCATGGCTCAGGACGGCGCATGACTCTTAAAATCTTTGTTGAATGAATGAATGAGGGAATGAATGACCACCTTCCATGGAACCTAGTCAATGAACTAGGGAGAAGGAAGGAACAGCATAAGAGGGTATGTTGTACTGAGACACTAAATGAATCATAGACGTGGTGTCCTTGGCCACGTGACTTGTTCCTTTCCATTTTATTCTTCCTGAAACAACAACAAAGCAAAATAAACAAACAAAAGTGAGTGAGAAAGAGCTTAAAGAGAGGACAGCCTACTCATATATGTTTCTCTGATCATAGCCTAAGCTCCAAAGTAACAAAGACCCATTGGGCACACACTCACTGGGAGATATGGCATAGACAAAAGTATGGGCCAGAGTCAGGGTTTGAAGGAGTGACTAGAGCAGCCTGTCTAGGGCAGAGGGTTTGAGTGCGAGCGCAGTGAAAGACAGCTTCCAGAAATCAGGGTGTGGCCTAGGGAGTGTGGGCGTGAATCACTGAAGGGGAAAAGCCACCGGAAATGTTTGTACAAGTAGTTTCAGAATTACTGAGAATTACAAACCCCTCAGTATATTACAGATATTAAATCTGTGGTCTAAAGGCCTTACTGTTATGCCTCCAGCTTGCACTGAGGGAAATTACAAGAGAAGTATTTTCTCTAGGCCACTTACTGTCCCCTCTAGGAGGACCTGCAGTTTCCGTGCTAGTAAAGCTATGTTAGATAAATTTAGGATATAATTATCTTGTAGCTAATTGTGTTTCTACCTTTGCCAGGGCTAAAAGGAATCTGGACATTAAATTTAAATGATTTAAATAATTGTGCAAGTATTTTCATCTTGCTTTTCTGTCTACTATCACTTCCTGGCTTCATTTTACTATTAGAGGTTGATTATTTCTTTATTTTAATGTTGTTATTCTTGTTTTTACTATTCTGTATTTTGCATATTTTTATACTCTCCCACAAATCTTTTTTGATACAAGAGGGTTCCCCTTTGATTAATACATACACAAAGGAAAGGTCCCATGTTTTTTGGTGTATTATTCTTGTCTTTACTAGTGCAAAGGTGACATATTTATTTGACATGGAATTGGTATATGGGTAATTGATGGTAACTTTTCTTTTAAACCAACTTCCTTTATCCTTGTAAGTCATTTTGTTCTCAAGAGGATGAAACAGGATTAATGGAAACACCCGTGTAGTAATGACTCTGCCTTAAACGTCACGGGGCCTGATGTAAAGAGTATTGAAAGTTCCTGGGGAGTTGCTGTCCAACCTTCAAAAAATAATTAAGTGGGCATGGAGGGAGGCCAGGTCCCAGCTTGAACCTCCATTCTGAATGGGCGCCTGTTTAGAGGCTGGACATATCCAGGTATTAGCATTTTCCTTTCCCTTATAATTTTCCAATTTCCTGCTTCTTTCCATTTCAAGGGAAGATTAAGTTACATTCAGAACAGTAGTTCTCCAAGTGTGGTCCAGCGATTTCTGAGAGGTCCTTAAGACCTCTCAGTGGGTCTACGAGATCAAAGCTAGCTTCAAAATAATAAAAAGACATTATCTGCTGTTTCCACTTCCACAGTCTCACGATGTACAGCGGAGTTTTCCAGAGGCCATGTGATGTGATATCGCGAGAGACTGAGCGCAGAAGCAGGTGTGACAATCTAATTGTTTTCTTTAAGCCAGGCGTTAAAGATATTTGAACAAACGTAAAACAATGCCATTCTTTTCACTAAAGTTATTTTTATTTGAAAAATATGATTTTTTAAAAAATAAAAATATTATTTATGCTAACATGTGGCGGGTTTATTACAGTTATATTTAAGTGAATAAATAAATATTTTAAACATTTTTTATTTTTAATTTCACATATGGTAAACATTGTTAGCACTAACAGTTCTTATGGAAAACGAAAGAGAAACTGCATTAAATAAAAGCCCTTTGCGGTCTTCAATAATTTTTTAAGAATGTAAAGGAATTCAGAGGCCCAAAAGTTTGGCAATTATCACTTCAAAACTACTAGCATACCAGTAGTACTTTTTCCTTTGTGAAGGGAAGGATAATTGAAGATTTAAAGAAATAGAATAAACAGGTGGTATTGGTGAGGAAGTCAGAGTGGTGAGGGGCTCACGTTAGACCAGGGCTCTTGGTGGGCTGGGGCTGTGACCTCCCACAGGCAGCTTTGTCACCCCAGTGTCCTGCATTATATCCAGCACCCAGGAGCAGCTCAATACAATTTGGATATTGAATGAACTGATGAATGAATGGTAAAACACAATTCATCTTGGTGAAAAGTGCATCTGACACGGTATACAACGTCTAATTAGGGCCAGTGCTGCCTTAGCAATCGAGGTGAGCTTTCATTCAGTCAATTTTTACTCCATTTATTCAATAGCTTTTTTCCTGAGTATCTATTAGGTGCCAGCTACTGGCACGTATGTATAAGACATTACATCTTCAATTTTCTCATCTCTAAAAAGGAAGCTCGAACAATCTGCGAAAACCCTTCCAGCAATGTCTTCCTCTGGATAATACAAGAACTCTCTCTTTGTTTCTCTTGGATAAGCTAACACAAGAAGGAAGATAACTTTCCTCAGGCAGAAAGCATTGTCTACTTTAAGTGCTGCTGCAGACACTTAAGTGGCAGATTGCCGACTGCCTTGGTGTTTTACAGATAGAAATGGTCAAGTTTGGAAATAGAAAAAATGTAAAGCATGAAATCAGCTAGCTCCATCTCATCTCCTAGATTTATTCACTATTAGACTCCAACTGAATCATTTCAGTTTAGGGAATTTGGAAAGCCTACCACCGTCTCTCCCCTAGCAGAAAGATGATGATCAAAGGTCTTTTGTGAGAAATCCGAGAGATTTTGTGCAGTGAATGCAAGCCAGGAAACTGTGTCATTGCTCTAAATGGGCCATGACTTTGGAGAGAATGAATGTCCCTTTTCCTTTAGTCGTTTGTCCGCAACTTCCATTCTGGTTGGCAAAGTCTTAAATGTTAAAGCTCCATATGCCTGTTTCTTGGAGACTTGGATGGATAGGTTTTTGCTTGTGTTTGTCACTTTTCATTAGGTTATGTTGCAGTAACAAGCAACCCCTACATCTCAGTGGCTTACAACAAAAGTTTATTTCTGGATTGCATTTCATATTGGCTGTGGGTTGGAATGGCACTGTTCCTGCTCCAAACTTCTTCCTTTAAAAATCTAGGGTAAAGAAAATGCCACTGTTTGGGATAACAGTTCTTAAGAAAAATGAAAAAGAGACATGGTTGAATCACGCAATGGTTCTTATGTAGAATGTGGCATATGTCACTTTGGTTCACATTCAGTTGGCCAAAGCATTTCTCACACAGCCTGCGGGTCAGTGGAGGGAGAGAACATACTCCTCTCACAGGGAGTTTTTGTAAATCATTTGGCAATGGGCAGGCATGCATATTTCTCCTACAGAAAGGGAGAGTGAATAATTGAGAACAATAATATAATCTAGCACACCATTCTTTCTTTGCAAGATATTATATAAATGAATTGCTTTCTCTATCCAGTTCATTTTACGTTATGATATCTAAGAAGGGAAGAGGATCTTCCCGGAGTTCATGAACTTAAGAGATAAGCTTATAGGCCTGTGAGAGCACAGTTCTGGGGGCATTTCTCAGCACCGGAGACGGGTGTTGGTCTCTCTGCCATGGACTTAGAAAAACACAGGAAAATGAAAGAACACAGTTCTTCAAACAGAAACAAAATAAACACATACTCACTGAGATCAGCACCCTCCTTTGTCCTGGCATCCCATAAAGGAGAGAGGCTGTGAATAAGAGATCTGGCTAGTATGCGTTTTCTCCTTCATCTCTATACCCTCCCTGTGGAAACCCCACCTGTCGAATCTCTGAGCTGAAGTATGAGCAGAGGCAGTGCCCTGTCATTGAACTCTACAGCTCTTCAAGGAAACTGCCTAGAAATACAAGATATACTCCTACTCCCTTCCCCCAATTCTCTAATCTCTCTTCTTCTGCTTTAATTTAGCCCATTAACACTTTGCACCTGGGCTATTGTAATAGTCTCCTCATTGGTTTCCCCGCCTTCGCATCTATACCCTGATCATCTGGTCTCCACTTGAGGGATCTTCCTAATGTATGAACCAAACCATCTTGCCGCGTTGTAAAAATTATTTCCCAATGCCTACCTCCTTGTGCCACAATTTAATTACCTGAAAAATGGGGTAATAATATCTACTTTGTAGGGATGGGTGTGAAAGTAAAATGAGATAATATATGTAAATTGCCTAACAGTGTCTCAATAAATGGCAGCTTATGATGAATATGATGATAAAATTCAGAATCCTTTAGCAAGACCTGCTAGGCCCTCCAGATCCACTGCTAACAACCAAAGCAGCTGTCTTGGGTCCCCCATCCCCAATCCTCCATCCCTACCTGCATCCTATGATCTAGCTTTGCCAAGCTACATTCAGTTCCCTAAGCAGCCACCCTGTTCTTTGGCTCCATGCCACTGCCTGGGTGCCATCTCTGGACTGCTTTTCCTCACTCAGTCCTCTTGGGTCCCACTGCTCAGAATGAAGATGCATTTCAAAAGCCACTCGCAGTGTGAGGCTGCTCCTAACCCTCCGGGAGAACTAACTGTTCCGTCTACTGGTTCCCCTGAATCGCCCCACTTCTCACACTGTATTGTCCTCTTTTGTTTTCGTGTTTATTTTTTCTGCTGGACTCTGAGTCCTCTGAGGACAAACCCTCTGCCTTAACTATCTCTCCATGTGGACCACATCGCCTGACATGCACTAGGTGCTTGAAGAAATGACAGACTGCAGGGAGGGGTTGAATAAAACATAGATTATGATCAAGCAAAGTCCACACTACGATTCTAGGATTTGAAGCTTGATGTGAGAAAACGCAGAGAAGGCCCATATTTTGGGCCGTGAGGGGATCAACACAGACTTGAGTAAAAGTGGCTTTAGCGTATAGGTCTTTAGGAAGATAAATTTGTCATGAAAAAAATCCTGAGTTAAAAAGACCTCCAGAAGGGCTTTTTCTTGATATAGTAAGTAGGGCCTTTATAGATGTGCTCCTTACAGTCCTAAATCTTGAGATGTCACAGGCTCCTGGGGTTAGCCAGCCGCCTTAAGCTGAGTAGGCACGCAAGGGTAAGATTATAGGAGCAATTCTATTTGCCTGCTGCACACACTATTGTTTAGCTTGAAAAATCAAATTCCTATTGAAACCTCTTGGCATGTTTAATAAATGCTTCAGGTGCATAGAACTGTGTGTGAGGCAGGAAGGAGCAAAGTCATGCTCTGGGGGTGATGTATTTATTAACATGGCTGAGTAATGCAAGCCTTGCCCTTGGGATGCTGGTCAGGAAATAGGCGAACCTGCAAACAAGGACAAATAAGACCTACCTGCCGCACACCTGTGCTTCCGCGACACAGCATGGCTGGGAGGACAGCATGCCCACTTCAGCACGGGCAGATCTGGATTCAAATGCCAGCTCTGCTGCTCTGAAGCTTGTTACCTGGACCTGTTCATTGTCGCTCTTTGCATCTCCGTCTTCTCAGCAGCTGCCATTTATGGAGAACCTTTTATGTTCTATGCCATGTAGTTTGTCTGCTTTAAGCTTATTTATTATTTTTTAATTGTGGTAAAATATGCATAACATGAAATTTGCCATTAAGTACATTCACAATGCATCTGCTTTAATCTTACGTCAACCCCACGAGGAAGGGTTGACGTGTTATTCTCTTCTTTTCACAGATAAGGAAACGAAGCCTCTGAGAAGTTAGTAATGATGTTTCTTAGAAGATTCTTGGTACATCTCAGGTGCTGAATATGAGGTCCCTGTTAATATTATTTTGCTTGCAGGCAACAAGCCAGAAGATCCTATTTAGACCCTTAGAAAGGGAAAGAAGAGAATGGAAGTTCTGGATTCCTTCATCTTCCCGATGCATTAGCAGAGATGCTGTGTCAGCCAATGGAAGGAGTGACAACAGGGAGCACCTTACGACTCCTGCTCCCCTGTGCCCAGCAGATGGGTGTCCAGGCCCCAGCTCCATTGCTCGTCTCCCAGGGCTGACCCGCTCCAACCACAGCCCCGAGGGGAAGGAAATGAGTTAAGCCTGTCTTCAGACACGTTTGTATTGATTCCGTCAGTTTCTTGCTCCTTGCTGACAGGAGATGGATGGCTCATAACGCAGCTGGGCACAGCACATTACGTCCCCATCTCGGGGCTCCTAAATCATTTCGAAATTTTAAATTCCCTAATCAATATTTCATGGCGAGCACAAGACAGTGATCAGGCCTGCTCCTCTCCAGGGCTTGTGCTCGCACACTGGGATCCGGTGTCCACCTGGTGAGCAGTGGAAGGGGGTCAGCCCTATCTGGGGAGGACTGCAGGCTGTGCTCCCCAGAGGGCTGTGATTTAGTGCAGGCCAGGACCAGAAGGGCCCTCGCAAGTCGTGGGGTCCCAGCGCACGCCTTTAAAGCGGAAGAAAGCTGCGGCTAGAGAGGTGATACGGTTGGTCCTTGGTTGCCCAACTCATGGCAAATCTGACATCAGAGCCTAGGTCTTCTGACTTCTAGCCCAAAGCTCTTTCTATGAATCCATGCCTAGCAGAGTGCCTGGCAGATAAGAGATGCTCAATGAATATTTGTTCAGTGTCGAACAAATGTTAAAACTTGCAAAAAGCCAGTCTGGGTCAAATAAGGCATTGTGCTTATTAAGCACTTACTAAGCGCCAGCCTGTGTTTTAAGTTCTATACTTGTAAAGTATCAGTCCAGGCTCACCATCCCAAGAAGTAGGATTATCCTCATTTTACATATGGCAGCACCAAGGCTCTGAGAGATAAGTGGCTTGCCCAAGGTCACATGGCTGATGAGTGAGAAGGAATCTGCATTGAACCCAAGCATCCGGGTCCAGAGCCTGTGCCTTAACTGCTGGGCCATACTGGCTCCCCACACAGATAAAAAAAAGATAGGAAAAAAAGAAGGACTTTGGTTCTATAACCAGCTAGTGGATCAGAAGGTAAGCAGTTGGCTGTCAAATCTGAGGCCTTTAGTGATGCTGGGTGAAGAAAGATGATGAAAGCACTGGCCAGACTTGAGGGTGTTTGAAGGAAGTGGCAGCTAGATGGGAGGAGAGGGCCCTGGCCTCCGAAGGCTTGTAGCAGGAAGTGGGTGCTCAACAAAGACGTTTTGATGATGCTGGCGATCAACAGACCTGTTTAAATGCTGCAGTGGAGAAAGAAAAAAGATTCTAAGACCTTCCACTGGCTCACCAAGCCTTCCCCACTGGATTTGGGCCCTCCCTGCCTTTTTCTCCTTCCCCTCCTCTTGCCACTTGCCCCATTCACTCTGCTCCAGGGTTCCCGCATTAAGACCTGCCTCGCCACCAATTGTCCCCTTAGCCTGAAATGCTCATCCACATGGTTGTCCCACAGCTGGCTCCTTCTTGTGATTTAGATCTCAGTCAAAAATATCACCTGTTCAGGGGCCTTTCCTGCTCACCCAGTCTAAACTGCCCATTAGGACATGAGCTTCTTGGGAGCAAGGCCCTTCACCTGAGTGTCTAAGAGGGTGCCTGGCACGTGGTAGGTGAGGAGCAAATAGTGACTGAATGGGGCTTAGGGGATGTTTTGGAGGCCCCTCAGGTGTCAGGCAGAGCACACTGCAACTGGGAGAGTTGAGTAGGAAGGGAAGTTATGAAATAGCCCTTCAAGAGGGTTGGTGGCCCACAAGCCACCATCTCCTGCGTCAGGGATTTCACTCCCCACCTACTTGGGAAGTTCATGCCACGTTTGGGTAGCTCTGACAGCTGCAAAGTCCTTCTTTATTTGGGTGGGAAATCTGGCTGTTTGTAGCTTCTGCCCATTCATTGGTCTTGACTCAAATCCTGGGGCCCCCTGGAAGCCGTGCTCCACTAGCAGAAAGCTCCTGAGGCATGGAGATCCCCACCATTCTGGGCCAACTGTGCAGGCCAGAAAGCAGAGGGACTAGCTGTCAGGTCTGAGCTGCGGGATCCTATGACATACCATGTAGCAGTTTCCATTGTCAGAGTTCACTTGCTTTTCCAAGGAAACATGCAGGGACTTCTGGGCCACTGTTCTTGCAATGCTCCCAGAGCAGGAGGAGGTTTGGCCAAGAGTGGGGAAGGAAAGCCAAGGACTTGGCTGTTGGCCCTTTAAAGGGCCCTATTACAAATGCAGGGTCAGAATCTGGCTCTCTTGCATTCCCATGTTGTTTGATATGTTGCAAAGTCCTTGCAGGCATGTTATTGGATGCTCTCATCAAACTTACAAGATATCTGAGACAGGTACCACTGCCCCGGAGAAGAAAGGCCTTGCCTAGATTCTCTGCCTGTGACTTCAGGCATATCTGTGGTTACACAGAGTCATGCTTCTCAAACCTGAGTGTGCATAAAAGTCACCTGGAAGGTTCTCTAAAACACAGATTCCCAGCGATTCTGATTCTGTGGGTGGGGGGTGAGGTCCAGGTCTAACAAGCACCCAGGTGATGCTGCTGCTAAGTAGCACCCATACAGATGACCCCAGCCCTGCCCAGGTGGCTCTCCCACCACTGCCCTTCTCTGAACTCCGGTAGGTAGCAGGTAGCTGGGGAAAGCATTCTGCATATGGTGTCTCATTTATCTCACAATGACCCCATGAGATAACTACATTTATTATCCCTATTTTGTAGATGAGAAACTGAAGGTTCAGAGAGGTTGAGTAACTCACTCCAAGTCCCTCATTTGTAAGTGGCTGAGTCTGAGTTTTGCTGGACTTCAGAGCGATGGGTTTAACCACAATGTCATGCCCCTCCTGGCAGTGGGAGGGATTTCTGGCTAACTGGGTCTCCTGTCCTCACTCTTCCCACTGGCACTAAGATGAAAGCTGAGGTCCCTGGAGTTTAGGAAAGAGCTATCCTGACAGCCAGGTGCTCTCTACACCACCTTGGTTCATGAGGCATCAGATCACACCCACAGGAGCACTTTAAACCTCTGCTAAGATCCAAATGCCATTGTACAGGGAGAGCAACCCTGGGAAGGACTGCTGAACAGGTTTTTTTGTGGGAACCGCCATCCCTGCGTGCTCCTCCCTATGTGCTCCTCCCTATGTGCTCCATCCCTGTGTGCTCCTCTCTGCATGCTACATCCCTGTGTGCTCCTCCCTGCATGTTCCCTCCCTCTGTGTTCCATCGCTGCATGCTCCATCCTGGTGTGCTCCATCCCTGTGTTTTCCATCCCTGTGCGCTCCTCCCTGCGTGCTCCATCCTTGAGGGCAACTCCCTGCATGCTCCATCTCTGTGTGCTCCATCCCTGTGTGCTCCATCCCTGTGTGATCCTCCCTGCGTGCTCCATCCCTGTGTGCTCCTCCCTGCATGCTCCATCCCTATGTGCTCCATCCCTGTGTGCTCCTCCCTGCATGCTCCATCCCTGTGTGCTCCTCCCTGCATGCTCCGTCCCTGTGTGCTCCATCCCTGTGTGTTCCATCCCTGTGTGCTCCATCCCTGTGTGCTCCATCCCTGTGTGATCCTCCCTGCGTGCTCCATCCCTGTGTGCTCCTCCCTGCATGCTCCATCCCTGTGTGCTCCTCCCTGCATGCTCCGTCCCTGTGTGCTCCATCCCTGCATGCTCCTCTCTGCGTGCTCCTCCCTGCCTTCCTAGATAGCCTTTTGGAGCTTTCCTGCTTTTTGATCTTTTGAACAGAATGAGAATTATTAAACTCTCAAAATGAAAAGGTTAGCAATTTCATGAGTAACCCGTCCCACAGGTCTTGCATTTAACAGAAGATTAAGGGAGAAAGCAATGATTAGCCAGCAGAATTCATTTCTAGATGCCGAATTTCCGGCATCATGGTGGACAGGCAGGACTGATATTCGGGCAGAGGTCTTTCTCTCTTTCCTCCCTCTTCTTTCTTTTCATAGCACTGAGCACAACTGTTGTCCTGTACTTATTGTGGGATTGCCTGTGTAATGATGCCTTCCCACTGCACTGTCAGCTCCCCAGGGAATAGAGACTCCATCTATTTTGCTTTCACGTTGCCCAAAACCAAGACATGAAGTGGGTTTGAAGTGTAGTCACAACTCAGATGTGCAAAATGTGACATTGTTTTTCTGTAACTGTCACCAGCTACCAATTTTTGCTATTGTGGAAAGACTTATTCTTGACAATTAAAGGTAGCTTAGTCAAATTCTAGCTCGATTTAGTCTCTTTTCACTAATTATCCAGACAGTTAAAACTCAGATATTTTAAAATCAAACTTCGTATCAGGACCATTGTCCCTTATCAAGTGTTCTTCTCTTCTCTCCTACCTAGGACGGCAGCTGCCTTCAGGAAGAAGCTATAGAATCACGGCAACAAGAGGTGGGAAGGTTTCTGTCTGCTTTGTGTTCTGGCTTCTGGTCCTGGCTGGGTCCTTCCACCCCTCCACTCTGGGGTGGAGTAGTTCGTCCTTCCTTGTTGGGGGTATTACCCTCTGTCCTCAATGCACTGGTTGCGTCAGTATCTGCAGCTGGTGGAATGTGTGGTCTGTCCTCCTAGTTCAGTCCAAGTGGCCCTGCCCACTGTCCAACCAACTCGTGTCTTGACCCAGTTCTTACTAGCCACAAAGATCCTCTGAAATTTCCAGGGTTGAAATGCATGCATGTGTGTGGTGAGGGGTCATACATCTCCTCTGATATGGGTCCTTTCTTCCCACTTGGAATTCTGGAAGCAACCACCTGGACAGGTGTCCTGGAAGGGACAGGCTGGGTCCTCTCAGGACATTCACCTACAGATAACTCTCTTCTCTATGACTTTCCTTGAGCTCCTTCCCCTCCAGTAGAGGTAAACAGTTCCCAGTTCATAGCTTTTGTCTGATCTCCTCTACAGAGTCCAGAAAGACTCCTTCATTTTCTCGAATGCCTTGTTCTTGTGCTGGAAAACCAGGGCTCTCAAGATTATTGTCTTCCTGTACATTTAAAAAAGTTAAACTTGAATGTCAAAGCCTTCTTCTTCCTGGAAAACTTAACTCCCTGTTCTCTGTCCCATTCCACCCCACCCCAAAGCCATGGCTAACTTGTCCTCGGAGGGCAGAGGGCTGGTGGGCAACATAGCTACTGAATTACCAGGAATGAAAAACACATAGAATAGTATTTCAAAATATTATTCCTTTTGACTGTCGGCACAAGTATTTACGGGACAAACAATGGTGGTGTGGACTCAGAGAAAGTGCTGGGTTAAAATTGGGGCTCATTTTGGGTCCATTTTGAAAGCCTTGGAATATTGAGTAAATTAGGACCAATTGGAGACTCAAGATGCTGTGTTCCAGGGAGGGTCCAGAGTAAGAGGGTGATGATTATGACAATAACATTTCATTTGCAAGTATTTTTCCTACAGACTGTTTCATAATTTATCCTTTATTTTATTAAGCAATACGTCGTGTGAGTCATAGTGCTAGGACACGTTCCTATTTGAGGAGACAAAATTTATTAAACTGGCAGTGTTTATGAATTCCTCTCTTTCTATAGCCCATCAAAAATAATCTTGTTATCTAGCCCAATTTCCTCCCCTTTTCCTTCCAAAGAGAAAGGATTCTTATTTGTTGAGACAGAGCTTAAGTTAATCTATATCACAAAGTGCTGAGAAGGAGGGCAAGAAGATTTGGAGGGAAGAAACTCTCCCTCTGCTCCCTCCTCCCCTCCTCTCCGCTCCCCTCTTCTCTCCTCCCCTCCTCTCCTCTCCCCTTCCTTTTCCTTCTCTTCCACTCTCTCCCCTTCCCAGGCATTCTCACCCAGGTTTTGGGTTTCTTTCCTTTGTGACTGGCCAGAGGTGACAAGACACTTGAGGTCTGGATTCAGGCTTGGGAGAACCAAGGGCCTCTACTTGGATTCCAAGCCTGAGTTTCATGCTCACTTAGCTCCCCCTGAGCTCTACTGAGGGGGAATTGAGCACTTGCCCAGCTAATAATAAAGTGGCTCCTCATGGCCCATTGGGCCGTTATTCCTCACATGCACATCTTCCTCAGTAGCGTCCTGGAGAAAGAGGGATTGTCAGGTTGGAATTTAGGCCATTGTGTATCAGGTTCTGGGTATCAAAGGTGATCAAGACAATGGATTCAACCCTCAAGGAGGTCCCTGTGTAGCGGTGGGGAGGGACAAATGCACAGGAAATGACAGCATTGCAGGGTGAGCACTATACTAGGGGTATGTGCCAGGTGCCATTGGAGCATACTGAGGGCATCTCGTCCTTCTGACCTGGGACGGCTGCCTGGAGACGTGAAGTCTAAGTCGAGAAGATGAGAGCACTGACAGTCAGGGAGTCAGCAGTTGTGTTGGTTTGTGGAGTAATCTGACGAGGATGTTGCTTTTAGGCAAGTTGAGTAGAACAGGCAGTGGGTTTTCAAGTAGCAGCAGAGGAAACCAGGGCCCAGAGTCAGGAAGGAGAATCAGGAAGAGGCAGAGATGTGGCATCTTCTATCTCCTCGAGGGTGACAACTGGAGCTGGGAATGGGAGTGAGGCCAGGAAGGGGAAGGAGAGAGAAGAGCAGAGGGCCAAAGGTCAAGCCTGGGAATACCCAAGTTTCGGGATAGAAGAAGGCAGAGGAGATAGAGAAGAAGATAGAGAGCCAGGAGGTATATCCTAGCAACCAGACCAAAGCACCACCAAACCCTGGATCTTCTTAGTGTCCAGAGAGAGTGTGTAGCCCTCACTCCCTTTGCGTTGCAGGCATTGTAGATGATGCTCATCACAGCTACCATCTTTCAAGGGATTACGGGGTGGCAGGCTCTGGTGTACACTATGCTAAGCTCTAGTGTACATTATCTTGTGGAATTCTTAGAATTCTGTGAGGTAGGCATGTTTTCCCATTTTACAGATGAGGGAAAAGGGTCAGGGAAGTTAAGAGACTTTCTCAAGTTCCCTGTGTCACACAAGCTGGTCCAGAACCAGGCTTGGAATCCAAGCTTACACCCTATGTTAAACAGTGTTACTATTGACCAAAAGGGCTCCTGGAAGGGCAGCATCAGCATCTCCTGGGATCTTGTAGAAGAGCAGAGTTTCAGGTTCCATCCCAGATTTGCTGAATCAGAATCTGCGTTTTAAGGAGTGAATAATACATGCAATAAAGTTGAGAAGCTCTGCTGTAAATTACATTCACTCCCCTGCTTCCTTGGGACCTTGCATCAGGTGTCCGCTCTGTCCCTGATTCTTTGCCTTCTGTCCTCTCCTCCATCCCTTCTCTCCCAGGAAGATGCCAGCTGGGCATTGTCTGCTTTACCTTGTAAGGGACCTGCTCTGCTCTGTGGTGACAAGAGACTTGCACATTAGTGTAGCATTGCACTTCAGCATGGCGCTTGGAGTTTCTCAAAGGAATTGTTTCTTAGGGGAGTGTTGGTGTGAAGGAGCGAGGCAGCTTTTCCTTGGTGACATTCTGTCCCTGAAGATCTGGCTATGGGCTTCGTATCTGTTGTTCCCCAACTGTGCCGATCAGATTGCTGTGATCCTGTATTCCCACTGAGCACACACAGAGCCCAATGCAGTTTGAACCGCCCCCACGCGGCTCTCCAGGTGAGGGGGAGGAGTCTGCCAGTTCCTCTAGGAAGGTTATCACTCCCCCTGTGTGGATGTTCCCTGTAGTCTAGCTATGGGAGAGAAAGGTACTCAATAGCTGTTGGCTGTGGTGCTCAGTTGCTGATTGACACGAAGCATCATCATCACAGTTACTTTTTATTTAGCACTTTCTGTATGCCAGGCACTGTCCTAGGTTTTATGATATCCATTTTACAGGTGATGTGACTAATTCTTAGAAATGTTAAGTGACGTGATCAAGGTCACATGGTTAGTAAGTGCCTGAGCCGGGATACAATTCCATATTCACCGGACTCTAAAGTTCATACTTTTTCCACATCACCTCCTTTTTAGACCTGCTTCTCTTTAAAGGCTTATGGTTCCTAATTTCTCTTAGTCAAAGGGACAGATTCTCACAATTTTGAAGCTTTTCAGACTTCTGGTGCAGTGACTCTGAAATTTTAGTGCAGATCAGAACCAGCGGGTGGCCTTGTGAAAACACTGATTAAGCAGTTACGGGGTGGGGCTGGAGCCTTTGCATTTCTCACAGGTTTCCAGGTGCTGCTGCTGGTATGAGCCACGCTTTGAGAAGGGCCTAGCGGACTGAGGAAGCAAAGCACCCATTGTTCCCATCCCTTTGGCCCCATGGCGTCTGGCAGGGCAACGCTGCTGTAGCGCTGTGGCTCACTTCTTGCTTCCTGGACATTATTCCACAGGAGAGCAGAAGGTGGGTTATTTGCATGTGTTTGAGTTCAGTGTCTCCTCTTATCTGGGTGGCATTTAGGCCGGTCCACTGCCCTAAACTCATGAGGGTCACCTGCTAACAAGGGAGGATGTTGAAAGCATATAATAACATAAGTAAAGGCCTGGAGACGGAAAGCATGTTGATTTATGGGCATTTCCCAGGAACAAGTAATCCAGTGCAGAGAATAAAAAAGCCCTGGCTCATCCACCGGACTAGACGGCTCATCTGAAATTTGTGAGATTTGAGAAGATGGGATTCACCATTTGCCTTTCCCTGGAGTTCTTTCCTTATTGTGCACGGTTCCAAAAAGGGTCAAGTTTGAATTTCTGTCATGGGACATCAAGCATGCTTGGGTGGACCACTAGGGTCTGTCTACATGGAAACCTGAAAGGCATTCTGGCAGAGAGAGTGATGATGTATGGAGCATCGGGACTAAGAGCACTGGGCTGTGGAGTTAGATAGAGCTGGTTATGAATGCTGGCTCTGCCACTTAACAGCTGAGGGTCCATGGGCATATTACTTAACCTGTCTGGGCCACATTTTCTCCAGAATCAAGGCTGATACAAAAAAATATTTAGCCAACAGATACGGCATGGGCATCAGCCAGTCAGAATGGATGGAGTCCAAATCAGAAGCAACGCCAGCTGTAAACAAGCCAGAATCCGTGTGGACGATTGGCTTGCATTTTCAAGTATGATGTGGGTCCCATCTGTGCTTTATCTCTGTGCAGGGGAAATGGGTTTAACTAAGTAAGGAGGAGATGGTGAGTGTGTGTGCACTTAGAGAACAGCAGGAAGCCTTCCTGGGAGTCAGGCCACACACACTCTGGCTATTTGGGGGTCAAGATGGGGAGACCTCTTTTGGAGGCTTTGTACCATGGCCAATTTGGCCTGTCCCACCTCCTTTCCACAAGCTAATAGCCGATGGATGTAAAGCCAAGGAGGAGAAAGGGTTCTCTTGGTTGATTCTTCTTATTCTGCTATCTTTGGGGAGAGGCAAGGCCAGAAGCCTATAATTGCCTGAAATGTTCAAAGGCACAAAAGATTGTGTAAAGGCCTTTCTACCCAGACACGGTGGGGAGGACCTGAACACTTCTTGCACTACCATACAACCATCGGCTACTCTGGCTTACCTTTTCTGGAAAATAGGACAATACTGGTACCTACCTCACTGGCTTGACTTGAGAAGGAAACAAGGTAATAGGTATGAAACATCTGGCACAGAGTAGGAACTCGATAAAAGGAGGCTCTGTGTTGGCCCATTGATCTCCTAGGCCATGTGCCTAATGTGGAAGGAGCAATTTGAGGCTCAGGAGGACTCAGTCTCCTGTCTGAGGGCCAGTGGAGCAACAGGGTTTTACCTGTGTTGCTGTATGGGCTTTGCTCGTTGATTCCCCGGGCAGGTCCTTTTGGGAAACTTATATGAAGTTCTAAGACAGAGGAGCTGTTTATTATGCTGGGAGAGTAAGTAAAATAAAAGTATTGTTGAGTTCTAACAAGCGGCGTGGAAGAGGTCTTCCTGTTTGGGGCCTTAGGTGAGAATTTCAAGGTTGGTGGCAGTAGAGTGACTTCGGTGCAAACAGCTGGGACAGCTGCAGAGGCCAGGGGATGGCAGGCAATGGGGTGAGCGAGCGAGTCAGTGTCTTTGAGGTTGAGGGAGGGTGACAGTGGGGCAGATACCCACCCCAGTGTCCTCCCCGAGGTTAGATGTAGCCTGCGACAGTTCTTGCGAGGGCACATGGCAGCCATGAGGGAGCAAGTAGGAGAAGGGGCTTCTTTGCTCCAGCTTTAGGGAAAACCACTGATTCGGGCTGCTGCAGCCCACCGGAGAGCCTGGGGTGGGGCAGGGGTCCAGCTACAGGGCAGGTGGAGGCGCCGAGCCAGAGCCTTCCATTGTCCTTGTGCGCTTCACGGTTGCCATTGCCCGGGAAACAACCGCTGACACATCTGCATCTTTGGACTTACACCCTCTGTTGCTTCCCTCAGTTGCCTCAGACACTACAGGCCTTAACTTACTCTTGGATTATTTCACAAGTGCCCTGAGTGCTGGGGGACTGAGGTAGACAAGCCACAGTCCCTGCCCTCAAGGATCCCACAGGCCAGTGGGCGAGGAAGGCAGATAATAACAACAGCAACACAACCAAATAAGTGTCATGACTGCGCCATGTGTTATGCTGCTGTGGCGGTGTCAGCGGGACCAGAGACATAATTTATGGGACTCAGTACAGAATAAAAATGTCACTTCCTCCTCCCTGAAACCCCATTGTCTCTTAAATAACGTGATTGCTCTTTGAATTATCATTTCATCTCTAACATCCTTCCTCTGAAGTCTCTTTCCTCCACCTGCATCTTTATTTTTGGTGGCCACTCCTTCCCTCTACAGGTAACTGCACCCGCACTCAAGACTTTAATCGCCCCTGTGCTTGGATGAGCCCCAAATCTCTCTCTCCAGCCAGAAACTCTTTCTTTAATATTTGGATGCCCTCTGGATATTTCCTCTTCGGTTCCTGCCTGGATTATTGCACTGATTTCCTCACTTGGGTCCAGCTCCAGGCTCACTGGCTTCCTGCTGCCCAGGTGTTTTTTCCTCAATTACCAGTTAGATCTTATCCCTTGGAAGCTTCAACGACTCACCAATACCCACAAGATAACTGCCCCGTAGGATTTAAAAGAATCTTGATGATTGGGGTCTGCTTCCTTGCCAGTCTTATTTCTTATTATTCGCTCACCTGCGTCTCATCTTCTGGCCTAACTGAACTTGCCTTGAGTTCTCAAATATAGTGTGTGCTTCCACCTGTGCCTGCCTTTAGACGTGCTATTAGCTTTTTCTGGAATGTTCTTCCTCTTCTATCTGTCAGTGACTTCTTCGTCTTTTCAAACATGGCTGTAGAAGCACTTCCTCTGTGAAGTGGAACCTGACACCCAGGGCTGGCATCATGGGCCTGCCACCTGTGCAGTCACACCCAGCCTCATGCTCAGAATGTCCCTGCATTTGGTTTAATGCTGTTCGGTCCCCATCTTAAAATTCTTAATAATTTTTTTAACAACAAGCCCTGCATTTTTATTTTGCATTGAGGCCCATAAATTATGCATCTGGTCTCGCTGACACCCCCACAGCAACATGCACACAGCGCCGTCGTGACACTTACTAGGCTGCTGCTGTTTTTAGCTGTCTGCCTTACCGCTGGCCTGTGGACTCCTTGAGGGCAGGGACTGTCTCATCATCTCTGTTCCCGGGACCCAGGGCAGTGGAGGACACATAGTAGGGGCTTGACAAATGCTTGTTGACAGGATTAATTCATGTCGATGTCTCCTTTTCTCTTAGCCTGTGCAAACTGCCTTTCCCTTTTAAAACATTCCCCATGTGAAAAGCAGGCGCCGGAGACTGTGGGCTCCAGTTTTAATTAATTTTTTGTAAACGTGGCTTTGTGATCTAACCCAACTCCACTTACCTCTCGGGGCCTCAGTTTCCTTATCTGTAAAATCTGTAAAATGACTGAACAGTCCGACATAAGAGGGGTTTCTGGGCTGTAACCCTCCGAACCCTTCCACGTTCATCGCCTTCTCGAAGTTCTGGGTCTTTCCTTCAGGACACCTAAGAATCTTCATCCTTTATCCTCATTTTTTTCTGACCTTCTCTCTCACTTCACCTCTTTTGTTTTACACAGGAAAAGCAAGGCCAGACTCTTCACTCAGCAAAAGCAATATTTGTTGACATTTGGAGGAAAAAAAAGCGAAGAGAAAAGTCAGAGATCCTTCAAAATCTTGGTGTTTGAATATTTAAAGACTCTGAATGCTAGAAATGTTGACAGGTCCTGTGTCAGGCTTCATTCTGATCCCTAGACCCATTATTTACTCTCTAAAAACAAAAGAAGCTCACTTCAAGGGGCCTCGTGCAGAACAAATTTGCTGTTCAACTCGCCTGCCTGTCCCCTCCGGCTGCCCACAGCCACCCTACTGCTCTGCTGCACCGCTCTCAGATCGCTCCTTACCCCGGCACCCCAGGGGCCAGGGGGGCGGGCAGAAGGAGCTGGAAGTGGATCAGTGGGGAAGACCAGATAGCGGGGGCTCTGGGACCCCTCTCCCTCTTCCACCACTTGTACTGCTTTTCTATTTTGGGCTTCGGTGTAAGATTTCACCAGAAAAAAGTGTCGTAATGCTAAAAAATGCATGAAACCCTCTGTCTACTGACCCAGGGTTAGATCTCAGTCTGAGCGTGGGGGCCTGGCTGGCTGCACTGACTCTGTGGCAGGACTCTTGTCAATAAAAAAGAATACAAATTAATAATGCTTCCTGTTCTTACTCTCAGCCAAATTGTTATGCAGGAGTAGGGTTCCTGGACTGGCCTCCTCACCATTTTCCCTTGGCCACAGGCTGGGTTTTGGCTGAAGGTCAAACTCTTTGGCAAAGGCTGGGACAGAGTGGTTGATAACATTGCCACAGCTGTTGAATGGCTGTGGAGCTCACTTCTTCACCTGAGAGCCTGGGCATTTGCTGGGAGACCGTGCACAGCAGACAGGGACCAGGGGAGCTCTGCTGGCTCTGAACACTCTTGCCCTCCTACCCTCAGACCCAATAGCACCTTAATTTTCCCCAGAGGCCCTTCTGGTCAGCCCAGCCTTGGAAGACTATGGCACAGAGGAAGGCACGTGGTGTGGAGCAGAGGTAGTGTGGAAGTCTGGAGTCTGACAGACCTGGGTTTGAGTCCCGCCTCTGTCGCACAGCTAGCTTTCAAGCAACTAAATGGACCTGGTGCTATGTTAGAGCCTGTGGGGGATAAAAAGCAATTTGCATTTTCACTGCAAGTTAAAAAATTCCTAACTTGTTTGGGTAGCAAGATAGTTCTCTTGCTCTCCTCATCTCTATCCCCGAAATAAGCCACAGAGAAACCCAGAAACTGAGCAGGAGGAAGTGGGCACAGTATCTTTCACCATGCAGGATGGTTGGGAGAGGACAAAGGCTTTTGGTAGAGTAATTAATTCAAAATTACATTAGAAGGAGAAATATGTGTCTCTTCAGTAGACTTGGTGAAGGGTTTCAGCAGGAAATGAATCCTTGCAGTTTGAGTTGTGTCTAGTATATTTAGGTATTTGGGGAAAGAGCAAATTGCAAACTGGAATGGTAGACCCTAAAGTCCTTTCTCCCTGACATGGACCCGCGGCCCCCAAACACATGCCCAGCAGCAGAAACTGGGGGCCGAGTAGACCCATCTCTGACTCACCACAGAGAGCGGAGGTTGAGCAACCCAGGAGGACCAGGGCTACAGCGTGCATGGAGGGAGGGAGTGGGTTCTGTAATGGGTGGGGGGAGAGTAAGGGAGGAGTGGGAACTTCAGGAAAGGGTTGAAAGAGACGGGGACTGAAGGAAAAGGAAGAAAAAGCAGCTCAGGGAAAGAGGGCTTGGTCTCACGGAAGATCTTTCCGGGTTCCGGGATTTGTCCGTGTGCAATCTACAGGCGTTATGGGAGTTCAACCTCAGAGAAGTGAGAGTATCTTGAAGTGGCCAGGGATGCCCCGAGGAACAGGCAGGATTTGAGCTGAACCCTGAAGGACCAGAAGATTTTCATAGATGGGTGAAGGGGACAGTGAGGACATTTCAGGTGCAAGACTAGTGTGATTGATATGCCTTTGGTCCTGGCCTCTCCTGCATCCTCCTGTCTCCTATACACTCCCCTCCCCCAGACAGGGCTGCTGAGCCCGGACATTTCACAGGGAGCTGGCGGGACCCATGGCCCCATCTCCTCCCCGACCAGGCTGGAACATTTACTCAAGACTGGGATGGCCCTTTCCAGGGTTTGGAGGAAACACAGACAGACCTTGCCCTGCCTTAAAGTCTAAGCAGCGGAAGGCATATTTCACATTTCCAATTATGACACAATCTGGTCGGTGCGGAAGTGGGAGCCTGTTGACTTTAACAGCCCAGCTGTTCCTGTCTTCCGGACAGCAGTCAAAATATCTTCTGAGCAGAGGGGCGAACAGTCTGAAGTTCTGATGGGAGTCCTCCAGCCTGCCATAGGAGAGCAGTCTGTTATGGTAATGTGGCTCTGGGGGCCTGTGTGTTCCCGGCCCGCACAACGCAGATGGGAGCCACTAGGCTGGCTGTGCCGGGAGCTGTTTCCTAAATGTCATTACTGGCTGACAGGAGTGAGTTAAGACTTCTTAAGGCCTGATTCCAGAGGTGTCATTTATTTGGGCCTCCCCCTGCCTTGCTTCCCTGAACCCTGGCCCCCTCTCTCCCTCCTTAGGAGGAGGTAGAAGGAAAAACCTTCATTTCTTTCTCATCATCCCAAACTTTGCCTTGCCTGCTTTCCCCAGCGCTCTGTCCTATCCCTCTCTTCCTCTGACCCCCGGGGCAAGGATGTCCTCTCACCTGGCAGGGCTTTTCAGATGTGGCTCCTGAATGTGGGTTTCTAACTCCTAATTGCCTTTTAATGCCTCATCTTCTTCTCCTATCCACCTTTTGAATCCACTACTTGTTTCCAGCCTTATAGAAGAGTCTGTCTCACAAAATTAATTGCAAAGCAATGGACAATGTAAATGTTGTAGAAAATATGATGAATCCCTCATCCAGAGCTAAAGCGTGGTTAAGAATGTGCTCGTTTGCAGCTCAGTCCTTCCTCTGATGAACAGCCGAGCTGGTGTAGTGCTCGGGCTCCCTGGGGAGGGTCTGTACAAGCAGTCGGACTCTCCCACCACCTTTCCATTTGAGGTTTTACTATAAAGCAGTGGGTGTGATTCTTTTACGCAAATATACCAGGATTTTGAGAAATGAAAATTACCCTCTTCAAAGTTGTCAGCTGATAAGTACTTTCCACAGGCCACTTTTGTGTTTAGAACTGATGATGCAAAGGTTCTTCATCAAAATTTCGTCTGGTTCTGTTCACAATTGATATATGTCAGAAAGTCCAATATTTCTGCATCTAAGTTATACTTGCAGGATAGCTTCTTATACCTGCAAGTGGCTTAAAAAGTCTTTGTCAGGCCATGGGTCCCGATTTTTAGCTTCAGAAAGTGTCACCACAATAACCGTACCCTCATGCCCAGGATGCCGCCATTAGGTAACAACCCTGATCGAACTTCAGGATCGGTTTATACGTCATGTAAGAAAACCACATTCATCTCTCCACTGTCACCTTCATAGTGGCCCAAAAGGTTTCTCTGCACTTTACTCCAGTGACTTTTGACTAGCTCATGCTCAGAGATGAAACTTTGCTATAACTGAAGGTATTCAAAGAACAGCTAGAGGCTCTGAATAGGATTCCTAGAGAGGAGCTCGAAAATGTTTTGAACAATTGTCACATTGAAAAGAGATTATGTCCCAAGGGAGTCACTTTGAAGGCAATGGTTATTGGGTTGGGGGCTGAGGAGGTATCTTCCCCCTGACTTCATGTACTCATGTAGGGGGCCATCCTCTAGAATAACACTGACGGCCATTACCCCCGACCCCCGCAATTCCTCCCAGGAGCGAAGAATAACTGAGTCTGATGGTGAGTTTGGGAGAAGGACCAGGCGTGGGTGCTCAGTCATTCTCGGCTCTATATCCGGATCTGCCAGCCTGCAGATCTCTTGGGCCTGAAGTAGGAGGGCTGCACAGGCGGGTCTGATTAACTTGGAGATAAAGTATTAGCAAACCCTCTTGGCCACAGATCTAAAACCTCATGGTCAATAATGTTGGTGATATTTTGAATTCTATCCAAATGACTCCTGTGTATCTCTCTCATTTGGTTTTAATCCTCAGGTGATGAAGAAAAAGGTGTTATTTACTATCCCTTTAAAACACCATCAGCCATGTTCATTTGGAGGTATAAATTTCTGTTGCCTTTATTATGAGATCGGCTTCCTTGCATTATAGTTATGCCTGACACAGTAAAAAGTCCAGCGCCACAGAAAGTCTTTCTTGGCTCTATCCTTTTGCTTTATTAACTTTAAAAATTCCTCCAGAATATAAGGAAAAAGAGGGAAATGCCCACTTCCTTCTTAAGCAAGGGGGTTGTGAACAACTCTACGTGCCCCTTGTAAGAGAGGGTGATCATCTCTGATGGGTTATTTTCAGAATTGATGGACACAACGTTCACTGTGATTCTGTTTTCCCCTAGAGCCTAAGTTCCTACAGGGCAGGACTGTGTTGTGCACTGTGAGCGCACCTTCTTTTGCTGCTGGAGGTATTGCTATTTCTCTTTGCCTCCTCACCGAGGCTCAGGGGTGGTTGTTGGAGAACCTTAAGTGGAAGCGTTCTGGAGAAAGGCCAAAGGATTTCCACCCCTGAGGAACAGTGTGGCAGCTGAACTCTGGGAAGGCTTTCTTTTCTTCCTGGTCTCCTTCGGCCTTCCCAACCCAAGAGCAGGGAGGACTTAGCTCACCTGTCCTTGGAGGCAAGGAGAACAAGACCCTCACCCAGGACGGATGTACACCTTTCCCTGCTGGGGTGTGAGAGTGTGTGTGTGTGTGTGTGTGCATGAGCGCATAGGGCCCCCATGCACATCAAGCTTCACTATGATCTGCAGGTTCTGACCTGGGCACTCTGAAGCTGGGTCTCTAGGCTCTTAGCAGGCCCCCTGTGGAGAAAGTCTCACGAGCTTCTCTCACAGAGTCCCTGAGCCTTCCCCATATTTATCCTGGTGCCAACAGGCTCCAACAGCTCCTTTGCTCAAGAAATAGAGGTAAGTTGAAGATGGAAGTACAGGGGGTACATTCTGTGGCCAAACCACCATCTTTCCCAAATCCTCTTGACTCTAGCCAATCCCAACCAGGTATCAGGCCCTTGTCTGTCCTCAAGAAGCAAATATCCCAATGGTTTATAGTAATCATCTTGGAATCCCTACGCTCTTGAGAGCATATTTGGCCCCAATGGAAAAAAAGTCAGGTCCTCCAGCAAGGGCTGATTTGATTGACATGCGTTATAATCTGACCGCTTCCTAGGCTGGGCCTGGTAATTTGTCGAGGCTTCCCTCTTGTCTTGGTGGCTGCAGGAAAGTCTTCTTACCTAGTCCAATCTAATTTCCCTTTGTGCTTTCTCTGTCCAGCTCTGCACTTCTGGTTTCCTTGCCTCTGGTCCCTCCGGTCTCTGGACTTGGGTTTGAATCTCATCTTTTCTGGGGCTTTGTCTTGGTTGCCTCTCTAGATCTTGTCTCTAGTAGGAAGTGCCCTCCATAGAACCCAATCCCAACCTGGATGCTTGGCTGGGGACCTGGATGGGGCCAGCTGTCCCTCTGTGAGTGGTAGAAGTCAGACAGGTGCCTGATGTCAAACACGACAGAACCTGGGGGCTGCCTCAAGGGAATTTTGCTTTGAATGAAAGTAGCTCCTTCTTATTAGCAGGCCTGGAATTGAGTGACCACATCCTGTGACATTTCCAGAGTGGGTTTGGCAATAATGGTTTTTGGATACTCCAGTGTGTCTCCCGTATTTTTATAGCTTTCATGAAGTTCTCATATGCTTCTCAAAACAAAGTTGCTTTTACCTTTATTTTATGGAGAACAGAACAATAAGCCGTAAAACAGGATGAGCAGGAAAAGAAGTGGGATTGTCAAACAAATTGGAGACAACTTCGGTAAGATTCCTTTCTGTCCTACTGTCCTTGTATCTATGCATGTGAAAATTAGGCCAAAAGAGGCTTAAGTAAGGAAAAAAGATTTTAATAGTAGAGAAGGCTTGCCTCTTGATGTTTTATTTTCTCCCTCCTCAAATACCAAAACCAGGCCCATAAGTCTGAGACTTTAATTTCTGTTTCTAGGGCAGAAGGGAATCCAGAGTTTTTAGAGCTGTAAGAAAATTAGAAGTGATTTGATTCAAAACCCTTGTTTTATACATGAGGTAACTAAGGGCCGAATTAGTGACGTGAGCCAGCCAAGGCTCCATAGTCACTTAATGGCAGGCATCGAACTCGACGCCAGTCTCCCGACCATGCAGCTAGTTCTCTGTCCACGTATGTCACTTCCTGGCCAGAGGAGGGAAAGGAAGCCAGAAAGGTGGGAGAAATGAGGTCTCAATGTCCCTGCTCTCAAGTTGACACCAAGGATGCTGAGTGGAAGCTGAGAGACAGAAAAATGCAGGCAATTTGTTAAAGTATGGCATGATGCTTTTAAATGTCAAGCTTAGGTCAGCTAGTTAAGATAAATGCAGAATTCATATCTAGGTGTTCACTGAATTTCTCTAAATTTTGCTATATAAGGTATGTAAGTCGTGTGTTTAAAACAGTATCCGAAAACCTCACAAGAAGCAGTTATGAAATATTTTGTTTTACTGGCAACGGGACAAAAAATAATTGGGCATTAAATCAAGGAAATGGGGAAAAGGGAGCTGCAAATCAAGAGAAACGGTGGAAAATTAGGTCTTAGTGGAGAGAAATGTGT